AAAAAAAAAAAAAAAAAATCTTTAAAAAAAAAAAAAAAGGCCCTGAACCCTCTAGACACAGTGAGGTGCTTTATTAACTTTGGCCCAAAGCCTCCTAAAAACACCTTAATATTTGGCTTCAACTATTGTTGCAGAGAAGAGTAAGTAAGACCCCAGTGCTGAAGGCAGGAGAACACTACCCTTTCCTGACTTGCTCGTGCCTCCAGAGCTGAGTGGGCCTCTTCCAGACCGCATAAGCGTGAGCATGGGGATGATAGATCCAGGGACCATGGCCCCCTCCGCTGAGACAGCCTGACGAAGCACAAATAGGTACGACGATCTTACAGACTCACTGGCTCTTTCCTAGGAATGAACCATATGTAGCCAGAGCATCCACATCTGAAACTGAAGACCAAAGCATGATGGGGAAGTTCGTGAAAGTCGAAAGACAGGTAGGTCTCTCCTTTCCCTCACCGAAAAAACAAGCCATAGAACATTTGCGTTCAAATGTCATTTTTTTTTCCCCTAGGGAGATAACAGAGTTGAGTCTCTACCACTCAGAAAAAGGATGTGGAAATTACATCCCGAGTTAGCACGTACTTGCGACCACATGCAAGTTCATTCATTGTCCTGAGCCTCAGTGTCCTCATCTGTAAAATAGGGATTCGAATACCTCATAAGGTGGCTATGAGGATTGAATGAGTTGGCACCCGTGAATCGTGTGGAATAGCTTCTGACACACAACAGACACTCGATAGATATAGCTGCTCTTCGCACGTACCTCGAGGTGCTGCTCCCTGAAGAAATGTTAGTCTCCTTCGCCACACTTTCTGTGTCCCTAGTCCTCCATGCCTCAGAGTCCAGGTCAGTGGGTGGCCCACACGAAGGGGCCTGGAGCAGGGCAGGCTCTGGGTGGCTTCGGTCAGGGCAGAAAGAGAAGCCGTTCCCACCCAGCACCCCATGGAGCTCACGTGTCACTTCCTCCGTTGAAGGGGCTTCTGTGAGAGCAGAGCCCATTCCGCTGTGCACCGGACGGATGGCTCCGTTAGTTTCCACAAGGATCCCTACCAGGCCTCTTATTTTATTCATGACCCCACATTGGTCTGTGCGAGAGAGGCAAGAGGAAATTTGAAGGATTGCTCTTTCTTGGCATATCAAGAATATCATTTTTCATTTTTAAATTTTAATTTGTAATCTCAGCCCTTCCATTTCCCAGCTCTGTAACCTTTGACAAACTATTTTCTCTCTCTGCCTCGGTTTCCTCACCTGTAAAAGAGAGATAATCATAGTCTTCATCTCCCAGGGCTAGTGGGCAATGAAATGAGTCAACATCTTTAAGGGACATCGAGCAGAGCCAGGTACTTACTAAGTGCTCTTAAGTATTAGTTACTGTTCAGGCTTGAATACTGTCCCAACCTCTACGTGGTACTGTGCTACCTGGCCTGACCTAGAAGAGGAGGTGCTCTCCCTGCTTGCAGTGCCTTCTGGGGAGTTGTGAATTGTCGTGGAGGGAACACCACACACGCACTCGTGCACACACACACACATGCACACGCACTTGTGTGTATGCGCTCACAAAGATTAAGTCAGCTCCCAGGTTTTGCAGGTTGGAGCAGATACCCAAGTGCAGCTTACCCAAGTGCAGCTCCCACTCCAGGGCCCCTAGCTAGGACCTCCAGTTCTAAGAGGCACAATTCCTGCTCCCCTCTGCCCTTGTGTCTAGGAGGCTTACACAGCCCGTGGGAGGGACGGACACTAACCACCCACAGGCTTCTGTGTAAGCGACTATTTGCAAATTAAGAACTCCCAAATGGCAGCAGCAAAGCCACCTCCTCCTGGGGTACCACTTGTCCTTAGACCCCTTCTCGGGTCCCAACTTCCGCTTCCCAGAAAGCCCTTTTGCCAGGTTGTTTCTACATTAGCACGAATCCATGTGCGGGGCTCCAAGTTAGGAAGCATGAAATAATCCGTTGTTGTTAAGATGATGATTTGCAGGAACTCTCCTGCTTTCCAGTGGTATTTCCTCCGGAGTGGAAAGAGCCACCCCCACCCTGGAAAAGCAGTGATGCCCACTTCCTTGTATCTCCCAGGTTCACGACATGGGGAAGAAACTGGACTTCCTGGTGGATATGCACCTGCAGCACATGGAAAGGCTGCAGGTGCACGTCACGGAATACTACCCGACCAAGGGGACCTCCTCGCCCGCAGAGGTGGAGAAGCTAGAGGACAACAGAGATTCGGATCTAAAAACCATCATCTGCAACTATTCCGAGACGGGCCCCCCCGAGGCCCCTTACAGCTTCCACCAGCTGCCCCTCGACAAAGTCGGCCCCTATGGGTTTTTTGCCCACGACCCAGTGAACCTGCCCCGAGGAGGACCCAGTTCTGGAAAGGTTCAAGCAACGCTTTCCACCTCAGCAGCGACATATGCGGAAAGGCCCACCGTCCTGCCGATCTTGACTCTTCTCGACTCCCGAGTGAGCTACCACTCCCAGGCTGAACTGCACGGCCCCTGCTCAGACCGGGTGTCCCCCCGTCAGAGACGGAGCATCACGCGGGACAGTGACACGCCTCTGTCCCTGATGTCGGTCAATCATGAGGAGCTGGAGCAGTCTCCAAGTGGCTTCAGCATCTCCCAAGACAGAGACGATTACGTGTTTGGCCCGAGTGGGGGGTCGAGCTGGATGAGGGAGAAACGTTACCTCGCCGAGGGTGAGACAGACACGGATACGGACCCCTTCACCCCCAGTGGCTCCATACCTCTGTCATCCACAGGGGACGGGATTTCTGATTCCGTATGGACCCCTCCCAACAAGCCCATTTAGAAGGGGTCGTGGCTGAGTCCTCCTTGTAATGTAGACAGACTTTGTATAGCTCACTTGCTCTCACACCTGACACTTGACCGTGAGATCACCAGTGGCTGCATCAAACACATGCATGTGTGTGGCGGCCCCCCACCCGGGCAGGGGCTTTTCATGGCCTTCCTCCTCCCCAGGTCACCACAGTGAAGCCGCTTCCTTTTAAGCATGGTTTGCATGACTTTACAATATATAAATGGTACCGCTAATCTCTTCTAGGATACACATTTATCTGCTGTTCTTACTTTAAATCATGATTGGACCAGGATGGGGAGAAATTATTGATGAGCTGTGCTATCTGTCCGTTTGGTTGGCTGCTTTGGGTTTTGGTTTGGTAAGCAGGGAATGTAGTTTAAGTTCTTTCTCAAACCACTGCCCCTTTGTGTAAAAAAGACCAGTAATTATTCTAGAGTAAGCAAATAGTTTGTGAACAAAAATGCATTACGTATCAAAGAGGTGGTCAACTGAGCTAAAACACTAGGAAAGGAACAAGACGGTCATCGCCTATCCAAAACCACGAATTTTTTTGAATTGTTTTTTTTTTTTTTTCGGGAAAAACTCTCAAAACCATCTAAAAGCTCTCGAGGGGACCTCACTTGGTCTGCCATTATCTGTATCCTGCCTGTTCCCTCATCCCTGGTAATCCCAAGTGTAGCATTTCGAGGGAGTTATGACTTGGAGGGGAGAAAATACACACACAACTTCAAATAGTTTCCAATTTATGTAGCCAAAGATAATGAAATTTATCAGAAGTAGGGTGCCCCTCTGGGCAGGAGCTAAGATCAGTGCCTTCAAGATGACGTTTCAACTCACATTCTTCCCCATGGTATTTGTACAAAATATCCACCTCAAATGAAAATTAGAAACCAGAAATTATCTGGTCCAAGTTCTCCTTTGTAAAAATGAGAAACCTTTGGCTCAGGTAGGGACAAGCCCGGGGTCACATCATCGTCCCCTGGAGTGCTGGGACCCAGTCAGCTGACTCGCCCCATGCCCTGGTCTCCTCCTACTACACCACTCTGCCCTTTATAGAGTGGGACCTAAAAATTGTGCCAAGATACCTGGACTCTGTTGTACACAATTTATCCAGCAGGAGGGGGCTGTTTGCTTTTACTGCAAAACATGCTTGCTTGATGCATTGCATTTTGGATCTAGGGGAATAAAACAAGCACTTCAAGCAAGCAAGCTTCAACATTTATTAATATGCAAATGGGAAAAATTTTCAGAACCATCCAGTTTTACTCCTCCAGATTTTTTAAACCACACGTAGCCATAAGATTAACCCAAGTGTAAGCAGAGCCCCTGGAGAGCACTGCCCTAGTGAATAAGTATTAATATTAAGCACAAGCCATCCTCTGGCCTCTTTTGAGGTGTCACTACTTTCTGAAACACTTTGATGGAAAAGGTTTCTGTTAGGCTTGGGCCAGATTAGCTAAATTACAGCACCACACTATCACTGTCTCGCTCTTATCCCACATCTAAGCACTGGTTGTGGACGGTCGCCATGGTGACCATCAAGATGATCAAGAGGGCCTAACAGTCTACACACAAATGCCGCTGATGTTCTCCTCACAGTCCTGTCAAGCAGTGGTAGCTGGGACAGACATCTGGTTTGTGGTTTCATCATGACGTGATGCAGGAACCTTATACTTTGTTGGAGGGAAGAACTAGTTTCTCAGATCTTGGTTCCTTTCAACCCACAAGTCAACAGGTACTGTGCAAAAGACTCAGAGTATAATAGTATTGAAGGTGTGGTCCCTGACTTTAGAAATGCACAACCAAAGCCTGCCGTCTCTGGCCCAGGGCAAGCATCGTGAGAGGTAGATGGCATTTTACATGGAGAATCTCACAAATAGAGAGGTGTTGGCATTGAAGTCTAAGGTGGAAAATACACAAGAATGATCACACAATTCAGACCTGAACCCTCCTCCCCTATGGTTTGCCATTTGACCTTCTTGCAATCTGAAGGGCAAACGGAATGGATCATATGCATGAAAGTGCCATTGGAGTTAATGACCTAAGAAATCCTATGCCGCTTCCTTAGGGCTTGATTCTTGCTTCTGACCTGCCTAGAATCTTTTACTACAAGTGATTGAGCTACCTATCATCTGTTACTATGTTTTCTTTATGTACGTGAGTTATTTGAGACAAAAAAAAAATGGAGAATGAATCAAACTCTCCACACATGCACCAATTATTTTTACCTACCTTATTAATATTCTTGCAGAACTGACTGGCCTCAGTATCTTACCAACAGATGCATTTGCCAGGAACTCAGTGGAGTTCTCAGGTGGACAAGTGAGACTTTCTCATCCTCAAGCTAAAAATAGTTACCATGGATCGAAAGTTAGAGGACTGCCTTAGGTTCTTTGAAAAACCTACAAAGGATAAGAGCTTGTGTTATTTCTTAAACCATAGGAGGGCAGTCTAGCCTCCCCTGCTGGATCATAAGGCCAGGATGACAGGGATTGACTGGGTTTATGTCGATTACCATCATGTCTCCAACATGTAGTAAGCTGCCATTATCAATGCAGGCAAAGACAAAATACATGATCATGAATAACTAAATGATAAGACTTTTTAAGAGCTGTTCTTTCCCATCTAAGAAAAAAGAGAAAAATGACCTCCTGGAATATTCTGCTTTGATACCCCTTTAAAAGGAAAAAAAAAAAAAAAAAGCCCATTCCAGAAAAGCAAGCCAAAACTGTTCAAGTTGCCTGCTCACAGACAACATCATCACCTGGCTGGCACTGATGAAGCAGGAATTCAAGGTGTGGGATTGAACTTAAGTTATGGGGAAAAACAACATGTGCCTCCACAAAGATCTTTCTGTCGGACAAAAGAACAACATGATGGAAAAATCCAACAGAACTGGTTAATAATGTGGCCCAAGATCATCCTACTTCAGGTATACCAGTGGTCCTGAAGCTGGCCGAGGAAACTACAGTAGTTTTAGCAGAATCCCATGAAATCGTGACAAATTAATTCCATTGTAAAAACTAGGAATGATTTCCTCAAGTGGAAGTGTAAGCCCATTATAGGTGTTCTGTCTCTGTGTGTCACAATATGATATAGGAGAACTTTAAGGGGTCATTTTTTAGGAGGATCAAAATGAATGAGATAAAGCTATCTTCCAAATGTTAGGTGAGAGGTGATCGTGTCGGGCTGAGAAGAAAGTACTTGAGATCAAGTGTGCGTTTTGACAGTAAAACACTAGCACACAGCAAACATGAAAAGTTTAAGAAAAAGAAGTGTGGGAGGAAAAGAAAAAAAAACATCAAATTGAGAAAGTTCTATCCACTGACTATACTTTTTCTGGGAACTGAAAGCTTGGACTTAGTAGATATAACAATGATATAATGAAGCTTTAATTTCAATAAAGGCATCTAGAAAACCCTCAAGATATACCGTAGTTCAAGATGAGTTTATTTGTCAATAATGACTGCATTATGCCTTGCCTGTTTTGTGCAGGGCAGTTCCTAGACACTGTAAGTTGAAAGAATAATTACTTGTAGGAAATCCTAATATAATAGGATCTACGCAGAATTTATAAGACCATTCTTCTAAATCCATACCACTCTACTGAGAATGTAATAAAAACATTCATTTGTTTGTTTACAAGATTTACTAAGCACCACTGTCTGCTAGGCACTGTGTAACATACTGGAAATTCAGAGTTAAGAAAACCACAGTTCCTGCCACCAAAAAGCTAGGAATCTGGTGGCCTCAAATATTGGAGGTCCCTTCAAACTATGTCTACCAGGAATGGAAAGTATCTGACTTTATCCCTGAAGACAACTCTACAGATAGGAGCTCTTCCTCACTTAGAATCAATGGGAGATTGAGCATGGAGAAAAGTGAGAGAAAGAATTCTCCATCAAAATGGTAATGACCCCATCAGCTCAGGAAAGACTGAGTTGTTGAATGAGGACTTTGGGTTTGGGTTCAATGCTTTGGGCTTTAGAGTTCCAAATACACTGTGTACAAAGGAGTTTCTAGAGTATCTGAGAAGGTTCTTGGGAAAAAAACTAGCTTTCTCCTCCTCTCCAAATCCCTATAATGATTGAGTCCAGACAAGAAGCTGGGCTACTTCCATTTCATTGTGTTGACCAAGAGACGCTTATGGTACAAGCCAAGACACATCTATTTCAAGAGAAAGGTGTCACTCTGCCTGTGGGACATTGCTAATAAAATTCTCCTGGAGCAAGAGAAGAAATGTGTTCAGTGGTCTAAGAAGTTAACTGCACTTTGGTCAGTACTGACAAGCACACCCCTGGCTTCCCCCAGAAGATGCCACACAGCTGGCCTTTGTTTTCTGTGAATATGCTCCCAAGGCACTTAGGACCATACGGATTTTCTTTGCTTTCTGAACCTCAGGCATTCTTAGGAATTTGCCTCATGTCCTCACTCATCCTTGAAGGCTCGCTTATTTGGGGATGAAATTTTTAAATTTTAATTTTAATTAAATTTAATTAAAATTTTAAAATTTAAATTAAATTAAATTTTAAAAGACTAGAAGTCCTTTCTTTGTATCCAAATCATCCAACATTCCGTTGTTACTGATATTACGCTATTCAAAACTGAGCCAACAGTCCCCTCAACAAGTCCCCTAACCTGATGCCCAGGTGAGAACATGCTAGGGACCAGGCTATCTCCATAGCTTTAGTGGTTTGGGAAACCAGCAGTAGGAATCTCAGAGATAGGAAGGATATAGATATGACCTGGATGAAAATTTGAGTTTTAGGACTCTCACAAGTGTTTGACTTTCTTGGTCTGTTTTGATTTTCAAATGGGACAATTGGTATATGTAAAGACCCCAGTACAGTGGTGGCTGGAGACTGTCACACGTATTCTTTTTTAATACTGTGTGTGGAGTCCACTGCCTCAGTCCTCAGTATTACTTATGAACTCCAAATTTACCCCCAGAAAATCTTTTTCTTGGAAAAAGAGTAGTGGAAATGCCATACCGATTCAGGCACTTTTATGGGGGCTTTTTCTCAAAAAGTACATCTCTATAAATGAAACAAGGAATGGCAGGAATGTTGGAATGAAGGTGGCAGGACTGTTGGATTGCAGTGGCTGGGTTGTGGCAGTTCCACTGGACCCACAATACTGCATGTTGCACCATTCTCTCAAAGGATGATCTGTAGGAGGCGAAGTCAAGTAGCAGGAACCATTAAATATGAAGGAACTAGTGGTTGCGATGAGCAAAGTTAAGCATGCCATGATGTCTGTCAGACAACACCCTAGCAATGAATGGAGAACTTCCAGAAGAAAGAGTTCAAGCTCGCTCAAACTCTCCCCAGGGGAATTTGTTCCCAGCCTCTAACAACCTCAGCTTTGTTATCCCTGTAGGAAAATTGTGACTAGTGGCTTGCTTCATTGTCACAGATGCAGGGAGATACAATTTTATAGATTCCTAGATGCTCAGAGCAAGAACAAACCTTGATCACCAAGAACAACCACCTCTCTTCTTAGATCAGGAAGCAGAGGTTCAGCATAAAGGGAATCACACTAGTCGCCCAGTGGCTGAAGGGGTGATTGGGTGGCAGAGTGACTCAAGAACCCAGGTCTCCTAACTCCTGGTCCAGATATTGGAGATCAAAAACTGACAGTCACATACCAACTGAGAAGAAAACATTGTGGGTTGGCCCAGGAGATGGAGAACTTCCTGGCCCACTAGAGAAACTGCTAAACCAGACACATCTCTGGAATATGATTGATCTCATGCCTTTAAAGGCAATGTTCCTTCTCCCCAAATCCTGCTGACCTCCAAAGGCCTGGCACAAACCACTGCTTCCCTGTGCAGGTGAAAAAAGGAATGAAGAACAACCTCATGGCCATGCAGGCATTCCCCTCCATTTCTCTGACCTCTGCTACGTTGTCCCCTCCTTGTCCCACCGAGCCCGGACTGGTTCAGCAATTTGGCCCATCACTTAAACTCATTCAGCTCCAGAGCCATGCCTCAGGTGGTATCCTCATCTATAAGCCAATCCTTTTGCAGGATTTTGCCTTGAAAAAAAAGTTAGTGGGTTTGATTTTAGGAAATAGGATGTGATTTCTTTGGGGATCAATATGACCCCAAGGCGTTAGTTCTACTAAGGTGTCCATTCACGGTGGGATCCCTGGGTCTCATGCCTTGTTTCTCCTGCTTTGTCCAAGAGAATGCCCATCTTTGCTGGGTCACAACTGGTACTCTTGGCTTGTCACCTAAAACTACAGAAAAGCAGACAGGATTCAACTTAAGACATCTTGTGTAACTGGGAAATTATTTTAGAAAGTAAACTGGCCTCCCTGTTGGCTCAAATGAGGATTAACATGGTTTCCACTTATGCTGTGCTGTGCTTGGGACAGATTTGCCAGAATTTGGCAAGGCTCCCCAGTAGCCCTTGCTAAACCCCTAGAAGGATGTTCAGGTCTTCTGAATCAGACTGAACCAGAAACTCCTAAGGCAAAGTCAGAAAGGTGGCAGTAATTTTAGACTATCAGTCTACCTGTCTTCTTAGCCTCTAAATAGCCCCATTCTGGGGAAATAAGTCAAACATGGGCTCTATATAAGAATAACCTGAGTGTGACTTGTAATTAAGCAGTCAAAAGCCTGGCCTAGTGCTTAGGAATATATGTGTAATTCCTCTTAGATGTGTCAAATTGACTACAACCTGATGCCTGAGAGGAGTGAAAAATGGGAACATGTTTTCTTGCAATGTCTCACTCTGCCCACAAGACGGGTCCGGGAAGGGGAGAGAAACTTACCCTAAGCTGTCTTTGTGAGTTGCATGTGATGTGATGGTTCTCTCTCTTGGACTTCCCCTGGTCCTCACCACAACCCCTTGTGGGCGGTGTTAATGTCTCCATCGTAGAGTTGAAGAAACTGAACCTGAGGGGGGAAATACCTTGCCAAGGGCCACACACTATAGAAGTAGAGCTGCGATTGTAACCAAAGCTCATACACCTTCAAAGATTATTCTCCACCTATCTCATCTCCCAGGCCAATGGAAATGCTCCCACATCATGCCCTGTGGTCGTCCCCCATACCTTGCCCTCCTATGCCCAGTGGACTTTATAGTAAAACAGTCAGACCCATCGGTTCCCCGGAGAGAACCAATGTCAGCTGCTCCACTCAGCTAATCAGTGGGTCCTACCTGTTCCTTTGAGTAGGTTCACAATTCAGCTGTCAGTGGCAGAAAATAATGCTGCATAAATTTTTCACTTTGTTCATAGTGGAATCCATTAGTTCTTGGAGTTTGGCGTGGCTGCAGATAATCCCACAAGCGCCCCTTGTTCTCTGCCCTGCACCCCCACCCCCCACCCCGAGGATCTCCTGTCATTGATTTATCCAAACAAATTCAAATGTCCTTCCTGACTTTGGTCTTCTGTCCTGAGGCTGGACCCTTATTTCAGACCTTGGAAATTCTGCAGAGATTGGTGAGTCTGCAGAAACATTCTTTAAGAGGCCAAACGCTCACAACAGTTGTGTTTCTCTTACTCAATATTAAAAAGATCACAGTTCCCCAGTGAGAAGTCAACCTGAGCTGGTAATTAGGCCCCATTTCCCCTCTGAACACTTTTCCAAGGGAAGGGAGAGCAGCTCCACCTTCCATGTTCCTGGGAGGGTTAAGAATGCACGTGGGGAGGACTACGTCCAAGATTGGTGGCAGCCATGTTCCAGGCATCAGAGATCTTACTGCTGGAG